TTCACGTGCCTTAACTTTCTATGCTTTCCTTCTTTCTACGCCTTTCCCCCTTCAACACTTTTTCTTTCTACGACCCCAAGTCAACGCCAGGCTGCTCTCTTTGTTGCTTCCCTTTCCTTGGTACTTTTGTTGATGACGAACATTTTCCTTTTATCTTCCTCTCTCCTTCATATCCACTTTGTCGGAAGTTCCATCTTGGTTTGTTTACCATCTTATGTTCACTTGCACTTTTACTCGTCAACCTCAGGTCTTTCTTGTTGATGAGCAATTTAACTCCCAGTGGGTTTTATGCCAACCCCGAGTCATTGTGCTTGTCTCTTTTTTTCACAGGTCCATTCTAGTTCTTATTTATTCAGTTGTCGATGTTGCAGTAGTATATCCAGATAGTACAAAAGACATCTAGAATGAACGATAGAACAGCATCTCACCCCTGTTGTCTATCATGTCCATCTAGATTGAAAACCTTTACCTTGCATTGGAGATCCGCATGCATACCTGTTGTCATCAGTAATCAGGGCGAGATCACTCCCTCGTCCTCTTCCCCGAGCTTTACCGGTCTAGTTGAGGCCGTGAGGGACCAAAAGGCACTTTTTCCCCATATGTTTCAAGAAAACACACTGAAATCAAATTATTCTGATGAATTAAGCCTATTTTTTTTTGGCAATGTCGGAAAAACAAACTTGAAATGAAGAACCGCCTCAAGTTAGGAGCATCTCTAGAAGAATACCTTGGTAAAAAGAAAAAAAAATGAACACGATAGTTTGCATGAAGTTGTGGTGATGTCGCGCACTGACCTTGTTTGTTTGCTTTGCCATCGAGAATTATTTGATTAGTGATCAGATGGTAAGCAAACAGTCAAATGATGTGAGCCAAAACTGGCGCAGACCTAAAACACAAACATATAAAAATAGCTCAATACCTCCACTTAGTTTAGTTCTTTACCAAGTAACTTGAATAAACACCTCCATATACCTTTGAACCCCTTTCCCGCACCTCCTCTTTTGTCTCTGTCCACATCCTCGTATCCTCCTTGCCCTGTCTCAAGAAAGGTCATCCTGCCCTTGTCTTGTTCAGATTCTCGACAGGTGAAAATAGGTGAGTCAAATGAAAATCAACCGTAAAATGCGTAAATAAATACAGGCTGAAAACCCTATGTCCTTGTCGCGTCTCATTTCTTCTCCTTCCTCCGCCCTAAAACTAGCGAATATGTCCCTTAGGCTGTTCATTAGAGAAACTAAGTTGCGTGCAAAATAAAAATCCTCCTTTTTCCGGAAGAGCAACGACAATAGTTTCCAGTTACAAGTATTTGTCAACGAAACGGATTTTGGTTTGATAACCATTTCGTCAAGGCCATCTACAGGCACTTGGTACGGCTTCACGAAATGAATTTACTTTTCTTGATTCGACAACAAATACTGCCAGGTACATAAGCTTCCGCAGTGACTGGAGTTAAGGATGTGATTATATTATATGAGGTAGTTTTCGCCATGTGGCGCTCCACTAGCCACATATGAGGATGAGATCTGCTCTGAGCGATCAAGGACCGCGCGCTGATTGTTGGAGAATTTGTTGAGAGGGAGGAGGTTATTAATAATGGATAGGATGGGAAGATTCCCCTTCCTTCGTGTCTAATTTTTATTTTGTCTTCCGTTTACGCTATGAAGAGCAGCGACAATCATTGTGTAGAGCCTGGCCCTGATGGACCGGACTGTAACTGGTATATGGCGCACTGGAGAGCTTGTTTTGTAGCTACCCTCCTTACAAATGCCTCCTTTCTGTTTTTTTTTGTATAAGAAATATAATAAAAAAGTCCTTCTTCGAAATTGTCGTTTCCTGATCCTGTGGATTCTGATATGTGTTTTTAATGGCCTATTAGGAAGAGGATGGTGGTCATTGACGGAGAGGATGGGTCGTATCCAACTTATCTGCGTGTAATTTATTACTTCTTGTACAATCCCGAATTAACTGCCAGCTCAAGCTCAGCCGCTAGGCTGATGTACTAAGAGTCATGGGCTGTCCGCCAAAAAAATAAATTGCATACACAAACTGAACCGTGTTCCATTTACTCTCTGATAATGCAGAGCATTATTGGGTAAAAATAACCAACAAGAAGACGTCGCTCTTTGGATGTAATAGTACATGATTTTTTGTCTCTTGTAAACGCCTACGCAGTGTATTTCTTACCCACATCTTCCCCTGAATTACTGCAGATCATTGAAAGTGGATGGAAGGAAAGTCTGGGACAAATGTGAGCACAATCGTCAAATGCCATACAACGGTCAGTATATCGCAGATGTCTTTTGTTTGTGTTTTTATTGTAGTTTATGCGACCGCCTTCTTGACTTTGGGTGCTTGCAAATGAAGCCATTGAGCTGCAGCCTCCAGATCCGTCCGTTCAGCTTCCAGTGCCTTTACGCACCACTCGATCGCGTATTGTCCGCGAACCTCCTCCAGCAGCAACTCGGCCATCACCTTCTTCCTGGTCGTGCCTTCATCTACACAGAGCCATGTCTTGTGTCCCTCCGCTGCGCCAACACGAGCCTCCTTGAGAATACCCATCATTTCTGTCGCTGCACTTGTTGCATCCATCTGCCGCCCCCGAGACGTCGCGCAGTACTGATTCCGACACCAATTGTTACCGCATCCTGACATCAACTGTGAATGATACTTCCTTGCCAACCGCTGCACAAGCTTCTGGTTCTTGGGGTCCTCTGTCGGAATCCAATAGGGTCCAAAGCACAGCTGACAGAGACCCAGCACGTTCACAGTTGATCCCTTGCCCCGAACACAGTTCTGGTTGGAGCAAAGATGAGGGGTCGCCTGGTTCTGTCGCTGGTACTCGTGGTTTTGTGCGTGGACCTGAACATCCTTGAGTGAGACCATCTGTGAGCATTTTTGACACTGAATCGTCCTGTCACCACAGTAGGACTCGTGGGAGTTCAGTCCTCGCATCCGATCACGCGCATTCGAAGACGGCCCTCCTTGCTGCACTAGGGTGTGACAATATCGGCATATGATAAATCGCTCAGAGCAGGTTGTCCGACGATGCTTGGCCAACTCGGGGAGTGATGGTGACTCGAACGACTCACAAGAGCACTGATACCATCCATGATAAATCTCCATGTGCTTATTCTTTTCTGATATACTCCCATGCTGATATTAAAGAGGCAAAACAAGGTGGAAAGAATTTGGTTCAGGAGATGCGGACGAAATCCAAAAGCATAGTACTTACAGCCAGTCGTCAAGAAATAACGTACCATATCACAGTGATCGCAGTGAAAGTGATTAGGGAGATCCTCCTTCTTCATAACGAGGCTGCACTTGGTGCATTTGGCGTTGTTTCGGTGACAAAAGTTGCTGTGAAGCATTATGGTCCGCTCTGGAATCCATGAGCCGCAATTGTCACACTCCTGATACCCTGGGGCATCCTTGTTGGGAGTATCCACTATCGTCGATGGAACTGATGAGGGGGTGGAAGAGGAATCTTGGTCATCATGGTACTGGACCTGGATGCTGTAAACAGCGTCTCCTGCTGAGGCTGGGGCTGTCGAGGTGGATGATCCAAAAGAGGCGCTACCAGAAGACTCTCGCCCGTGGAGGGCAATATGAATGATTTGAGAGTCTTGCTGAGTAGCATAGTCCTGGTCAGCTGCCGGGATAGTAATGACTCGAGGACTGACTGAATCAAAATTGGCCCAGATGTGGTCCTGCAGCGAGATGGAATGCTTTGTCGAAACAACCACATCCAAATCGCCTGGTTCCTGAACATGCACTGTAATCTTGACACCCGATTTCCGGATGGGAACGTCAACTGTCCACCTCTGATATGCTTTTGGAGCTACATGACCTTGCGACTCGACTCCAATCTTGAGCATATTATCCATGTTGTTCCCGCCACTCCCTGATCCATGTCCATTCAAGACTCCACGAGCAGACTGGGTCGTTCCGTCGGCCATTTCAGTGTCCAGTGGTTCAATGTCGACCTCCAAATCCGTGTCGGTAATACACACAGCCTCGCCTGGTTCTGGCTTAAGTTCCTCGACAACAAATCCAAACTCTTTTGCTCCTTGATGAACCTTGAGGACCTCGCCGCGGGTGAGTGTTGTGTAGTTGGATCTGAGTCGTGCCTCGAGTAGTGCTCGGAAATCCAGAATCTCCGTGTAATCAGCCGAGAGGGGACGGAACTTTGCCCAGGTGCCTTTGGGAAGAGCGGCATACTTGATCATGACCTGGTCACCAGGACTGAGGGCGAGCGAGCTCATCATCCAGACTGGGAGATGGACTTGACCGTCTGCAGCCGAAAACTCTTTAACGCCGCCATGAGTCAGTAGCCGGTTGGCAGGGTTGCGAATTTGAAAAGTGAGAGGTGAGGGCAATTCTTGGGGTTTGTTCAAGTGCTGGTAAGGATTGTACTGTGGTTGGGACCACGAAGTAGGGTCGTAGTTTGGATCTGGCAAAGGAGGCGGTGGAGGAGGAGCAGAGGCATGGGCTTGGATGATGGACTCAAGGGCAGGCTGCGGGAGGATGATCTTGTCGCCCTTTGAGGATTCGAGAGGCTGGCCGAGAGTGAAGGTTGAGGACCAAGCGAATGGCATTTGTGTTGCTGATGTCAGAACAATGAGCGAGAGTAAGAAAGAGAGGGAGAGGTTATGTTGCGTGTGCGTATGCGTTGGAGAGAGAGAATGATGAAGGGAGAGAAGGAAGAAGAGAGAAAAGAGAGAGAGAAAGAGCGACGACAACGGGACACATGGTGTGTTTGTCAGCACAGAAAGAGAAAGAAAAAAAGAAGCGTGCGTACGTGCAAGTCACACATACAGAAAATATTGCGCCACCAAATCTGTCCTCGCAGCCTGCAGTCAGAATAGACAAAAGGCAGAAGTAAGCACCATGTTGTTCTTCTCATCCAGCACAACACAGTAGGCCCTTGTACGGGGCTCAAGTCCTCATGCCTATTGCCAAATCGTAAAAAAAGAAGACTCCCAGCCGATCTGGCAAAAGATTGGAGCAGTAGGGGATTGAACCCTAGGCCTCTCGCATGCAAAGCGAGCGCTCTACCACTGAGCTACAACCCCAATTTTAATTGGGGTTACGATTTTACAATTGCTACTCATCATTGATTTCGTTGATTTGATGCACATAGCATTTAAAAAACGTTAAAAATTGGCCCCAGAGGTCCTTGAGAGCCCCTGAGTACCCTGGCGAAATATGAGAAGAAAAAAAATGTCAAAAAAAATGTGGAAAATAGAAAATATCGAATTCAAGGCAAGTCATGAAGATGATCTGTGGAAGGGTTGGTGGCAAAAAAAAAGGCGATAAGGCCATTGGGACCTGAGAGAGTCACCGATTGAAATGCGATCCTAAAACCACAGACATCTTGTTTTATGAGTGTTGTATAAGAGAGATTGCATGGGAATCAAAGAACCGAAGGTGTAGCCAAGATCGAGATATTGAGTCGTTGGTTTTCAGGGAATGCCCTGTTGCTGAAAAATCGTCGCGTTTGGTGCGTCTGCTTCGGATTCTTCTTTGAGATAACTAAGATACCGAGTAAGCAAAGTATAAGGAAGTGCAATAAGGCGAGACCACTTGTGTAGGGTGAAGGAGAATGAGGGAACGAGTGCTCTTGTTAACGATTTAATAAAACGAGAGTGAAATATGAACTGAGGAGTGAGGACTAAACTGAGCCAAGGGACTGCGATACGACTGTGTAGGTAAGAAATGGAGCCGATTGGCGTTGTTGTTACGGGAAATCGAGGTACAAAGAAAATGATTTGGACTATTATTTAGTTCTGTAATATGCTGATATCAGTGCAAGAGCGCATACTCTAACAGGAGTAGTACACTAAACAGGAGGGTTCTTGTTCATTGTAATTCGCTTGCTAATTCATCAACAAGAGCGAGCCTATAATAGCAACTTTGGGTCTTGCATGAAGAAATTGACACCCAGAAGGATATATACTTTCACCCGAGAAAATCAGTCACCAGCAAAAGTACTCACTATCGGCACCATAGAGATCATAATTTTTTTAAAAAAATAATGGCGTCATTTTCATCATGTAATACTCTCTAGTAGGTGCGAACTATTGGAAAATAAGCACCGATAGTTATCAACTATTGCTTCAAATGTAACTGATAGTTTCGTACTCGCATTACTCGCATGCAATAGAGTACCGCATAGAGTACAGCATGGAGTATAGTAAATTATTAATTTATTGATTAGAATTTTTTTAGTAACTTTGACCTTCTCGATAAAAGCTTTCAGGGTCATCCTCCCTTTTGGCCTTCTCCACCTCTAAAAGCGCATTCTCCTCCCTCACAGCTAAAGGGATGTTGCTATTAAATGCCAACATGGCTTTTAGAACTTGATAATCAATGTCCTTTTTGAACTTCCACTGAGCGTCGTGTCGCATATTTGGACTGTGGATGGCCCTTAAAGGAGAACAAGATAGAAATAGATAGTCAAGTCACCCGGGATCGTTTATAAGACGCGTCCCGGCGGGGCCCAATACAATCCCTCTCTTGTCTCATCGATTCAACCGGTACATATAACTTTAAAAATACTTCACGTCGTATGAGTTCGGTTGAAGCTTGAAGTCCTTGTGGTTTTCGCGATATCGCCATGCGGTATTGGCCGACTTGCCATGCAGTGCAAAAACGCGGCGCCCTCTAACTCCGTTAAGACTCCAAATTGATGGATTGCCGTTGACACCTCGAAACCACTCGTTCCAGTGGTCCCTTATCTTGCTATCTTTCCGAATCATCAAGTATGACTCCCCGGAAACATCTTCGTCGAACAGATTGTACGTTAAGCCCAATTCCAGCGCCAATTCGTCCATCCGCTGCAATAACTGCTCTTGATTGACCGGTGTTGTGATCAAGGGTGCTGATGCTGACGCTGGTGGTGACGCTGATGCTGACGCTGGTGCTGCTGTTGGAGGATCAGCATTGTATTGCTGCGGCCGCATCAGTAACTCCAACATCTACACCTCGGACTCTGGCTCTGGCTGCAACAATTCTGCTTCGGTCTCTGACTCCGGCAAGTTTATCTCGGTCTCCATCACTTGCCTCTGCTGCAACTCCAACTCCAACTCCTCTCGCATCCCTTTCGGTCCAGAACGACGTCGTCGAATGGATCGAGAATCAGTTGAAGGCGCTGGTCCTTGCGTACCGGAAGAGCGCTCCAACTCGTCCTGGTAATATGATAAGAGAGTAGAAGGTGTATCTTGAACCAGTCGATTAACTGCACGGGCGATAGCGAGGTTTTGCTTGGTCATGGCATCTGTGAGAAATCCTTTGGTGTCCAACTGCTGTGAAACTGTGTTTCCGACCTTGGCTGCGACGATATTATCGAGGCGTTGCAGATTGCTGTCGAGTGTCTCCTTGACCGCTGTAGTAAATGTTGTCATTTCAATCCTAGTGCTATGAAAACCCGTTCGTCACCTTTTTTTTTTAAAAAAACATAGCTTAAATTATCAGCCCTTTGTCCTTGCTGTGATAAAAAAGTCTTTCATCGTGATATGCTTCATACCTTGGAGTCGATGATTCGAAATTCAGCACGTATAGCAGGCGCGTTATGGGACAAAAGGTTGGATTGAGGTGGTACCGCTCGAGCCATTGCCTCCTCAAGGTTGACTCGGTACTCTCGGAAAAGGTCGTCGTTGAACACTGCATGGCCAAAGATCTCGTGGAGGCCATAGTGCAAGTGATCGTCGGGTTTGGTGTCCATAAGGGCAACGGCATCCTCCAGAAAAATCTTACGAAGATGAGCGAGCAGACGCAAAAACTTGAGACGGAGAGTTCTATTGATATCGGCAGGGGTAGGCATGCGATCGTTCGTCGTGACTCTGTTAAAAAACTCGTCTCGATCCTCCATGATGTTTTCCAAGAGCGCCAACCAGTCCGGGTGTCCTCCATAACATTGCTCTAGAAAAGGAAAGATTTTTTTCTGGAGCTCCATAGGAGGACGAAGAACACTACGCTTGACAAACGGAGGCATGCCATCGTGGGTAGAGCCAGCCAGGGCGTACGCAACCCCCTTGAGAAGAGGATGAGGATAATGGGAGGTGAGGCGTCCTTGGTCCTTTTTCCAGCCTCCGTGATGCTCGATGGCCCTGATGTCCTGACCGAGAGCGTATGCAAGGTTGGCACCAGAGTGACGGTAATAATGAGTCGGCTTATCGGTGTCGATACCGGTTTGCTGGAAGAGCAATGACATTCCGCCGAGATGGGCATTATTCGACAGCTTGCTCATTTTGTCCCTACCAAATACGAGGTAGACCTGCCGCCAACTGTTGTCATCCTCATCCACGAAATCTGGCATATAAGGCGAGTTCTAAAACACAGGCAGTTGGTCGCAAAAAACAAGTAAGCAAAAATGGTTGGCAAGCTGGGGATAAGTTGGATAAAAATAAACAAATGCCTAACTCTTACCTCTTCTTCCTGCCAAAACTGAAATAAATAAAAGGCAAGAGCGCCAAGAGGGCGAAGTTCGACATCGGTATTCCTCATTGCAACGCCGTAGGTTACCCCCCCTGTTTTCATAGTTTTTCCTTGGGTCATAATAAGGACTATCGCAGTGGTACCAGGATGGTCGGAGTCCTGCGTTGAGGTTGAGGGGGCAGTAGAGTTCGAGAACGTATGGAGGTTGATGTGAGGGAGGTGGGCAAACCGAAGATTCTCTGCTCGCATCATCATATGGTGTCCCCAGGATGCCATCAGTCGATTCTTCATGCTGGTAATCTTGTGCTTCTTGGAATTCTGCGCGCCGTATCTGTAGGCCCAGCTAGATCTCATCAGGCGTCGCATCTTCTTGACTTCATCTCCGGCAGCCGCGTCAATGGTGGCATACTTCTTGAACTCGATCCTGGGGTCTGTTGCAAGGCGATACTTGAATTGATTGATGAGTCCTGCAACGGCGGGACCAGCACGAGGATGACCTTCTTCTCTCATTCCGTCGGACTCACTGGTTTGCTGTTTAGTGTAAAGGTCGACCACAGCACAAATGTAAGCCTCCGCCGTTTTGATGCTAGGGATGTCGAGATACACCTCGTAGACCACCTTCGCTTTCTTCATTGTCTTGCCTTCTTCTCCTTCCCGAATAACCGCAGCCGGACGTTTCTTCTTTGCGAAGAAGGGTGTAACAGCTTTACTCAGGTCGCCGCCTCCATCTGAAGAGTGTTCTGCCAAGCCCTCCTTGAGATAAAAAATGTATCGGGCGTACTCGACCCTGTCATCCACCTCCTCTTCTTCGACCTTGTTGGCGTTTTTCCTGCGATATCCTTTCCGCTCGCACCACTCCTAGTGAGAATATTAACAATTGAAAATTGTTAGAATGATACACAAAATAATGCAGTAATTAATGCTGATGAATTAACTTACAAGGGATAAGCCTAATTCACATAACTTACCCTCCAATGGTTCTGGTGTCGGGTGTACGATGTTTTGGTGCCGAGTGAAATCTGCGATTCGCGTGCCATCTTGGCCTCGAGAAGGGCCTCCTTCTCAGCCATCCTCCGCTCAATATTTGTCAGCTCTTTTTCTGTAAGCTCCATTCTATCTTTATCAGTTCTTCTAATCGCGGCCAACTTCTGCGCACACATTCCTGCCTTCATCTCGGCCTTTTTAACACGTATGTTGAACCGCTCTGGAGTCTCGTTTGGCAATCGATGCATCTTTTCCTCTAAGATAACCTGAAGGCTGTCCTCGACCTCCTCTGCTGAGGATGGGTTGTACAAAATCCTGCTACGGCGGTCAAGCGTCCTCTGGGGTCTTGTTGCTCCAGATGGCTGGAGGTGCGCAATAGAGCTCTCCTCGTCGTCCTCGTCCTCCTCGGCATCACCGAAGTTGAACTGAAACCTCCATCCTGTATGTTAAGACTCCTGAAGCTTCGTCGCTTGTATCCTTCCTGTAGTAATCGGCGTGTCTCTCTTGCAAAGCAGCCATGAAAGGGATGGGCTTAGGGTTAGAACTTCCTTCGCCTAATCCGGGTATAATAGTTACGGAAGAATTGGTCAGCAACACGCTCATACTCGAAAAAAGAAAAAAAAGGCGACGAAGAAGGCACGGCTCGCTCTTG